GAACACACACACCCCACACACACACGCACGCACACACACACACACACACAACACACACACACACACAACACACACACCACACACCACACACACACATATATATATATATATATATATATATATATATATATATATATATATATATATATATATATATGAAAGCCTGGTAATATCTTACATTCATTTACTATTTACAAACTTGTAAAGAAAATGAAAACCTATCTAAAAAAAACTTTCTAGATAACCTCTGGAAACCATGAAAGCAGGTCATGCCGAATCTGACGTCATAACGACACATACTGATGGTGCACGCTTGCAATTATAATTTTTTTCAGGTAATTTTTCTCGTATGTGTTCAGCTATTTGAATATGGGTGTTGCCGAATGTTGCAATAAGCTATGGACAAGGATTACCTAGATTCCAAACCTGTGGCAAATATTTAAACACCAAACATGCACTTGTAAATCCCATGGAATCTAGCCTCAACATAGGGTGATCAGCTGTTGTTTGTAGATGTAGCTGTTTAGTATAGCAATTACAAAAAAAAAAAAAAAAAAAAAAAAAAAAAAAAAAAAAAAAAAAAAAATGTTGTTTTGTTCACTTGAGGGTTAGTCGTTCACTAAGGTTTGTGTACAGAATTGCATCATTATCGTCTACACCGTCCATGATCTTGTATTCCTGCACAATCTTTGATTCGTGGAATAATGTGTCCTGGCGGTGTGTAGCTTCCTTAGACTCTGCCTAGCATTTTCTTAAGGTATAGGCTCCTTGGAACCATCTTTAAATTTCACACAGCAAGAAATTCTCTGACGCCGTTCACTAGATTTCTTGATTCCTAAAGGCCGTGTCACACTAGTACTTTTTCCGTCAATTTTTTGACAATTTTATTTAACATGAATACAAATATTCTCGAATATAGCTCTTGATTTGACTATGCTTGGCAGAGAAAATTGACGGAAAGGTTTTCAGACGGAAGCGATCATTATCGTCTGAGTGGAGAATCGACAATTCGCTCAAAAATTGACAAAATTTCAGAAAATTGTAAAAAAAAAATTGACGGAAAAAGTGCTAGGGTGACAGTACCTTAAGTTTGACGCCTTCAAACTCTCCTCCTCTACGATTCCCTCTCACTGCTAACATTGTATCGCGAACACAAATACAAGAATAATGCGGGAAAGGAGAAACAATTATCAAACCCAACATTATATCCTAGGTTCAGCAAGGTCAAACAAGGTCTTATCATTGCAGGGTGTGTAGTATAGACCTTGACCTTCCTATACTTCGAAAGTGCTGGTTTAACCTATACAAAACGTTAAAAACAGCTTGGTCCCAAAGCTTGAATGGTGCTCGTCTGGCATGTACTGTGTCGGATTGGGTGTCTTTCCCTTGAAGCCTCCTAGCGGAATATTCTTCACAGGCTGATAGAAATGTGGGGAAAAAGCAAATAATAATAATATTAGGAAAAAAAACTTTTTCTGGTCTACAATATCCTTTTTTTTTTCTTTCTTCGTCTTCTTCTTGGCATCTTTTTCGCTGTTGTTGAAATGCAAGAACTTCATAAAAATGGAACCCGCTACAGAT